GCTGTCCGAAAATGTGCATGCCACAGAGGGCGACTTCGTTGAAGATAACACATGCACCTTGCACAGACATGACCCCCGAGCAAATGGCTTCGAGCAACTATATCAGGCGATACTTTCACGGTCTCTATGAGGTGCAGCTCGGGAATGAGGAGTTCCGGAATGCCCGCACAAAGGAGTACACGATGAGCTTGAACAGCAGCTATTACAGCCTTCTGCCAGGCCCCAACAAAACGGAGTCGCTGCTGAAAGCCGGGGAGTTTTACAGAAGCGGTCGTTGGCATGATGCAGTAGCAAATGCGAACTACATTCTAGGTCTCGGTATCCCACACCCGCGCGGACTTACGGGCTGTGCTTTCTTGGATTCTGAAGAAGTCAAAGCTGTGGCAGGTGGCGGGTTCTGTCTTGCGCGCACAGATGGAGATCTTGTCGTGTCTCTTCGCGCTCAATGCCCGGTGACTTGTGGCTGCAAAGCAGATGAACGCGACTGCCCGGGCACTTGCCGGACAGACTAGCAAGGCCTAGCGGTCTTCATCTCGGCTGTACCCAAGCTGAATTTTCGTCGACTGACCAGTGCTGAGTGCTGACCTCACCTGGACCTAGTTCTGCGGAGAGTGCATGGCAGTCGAAATTCGGGAAATGGGGGGCCACAGAAGGCACTGAAAACCGCATGTTGCCCCCTAGAATTTACATCTCGTTACAGTTTGCTATACCCGCAGAATAGCCCCTATCGTCAGTCTTGAGGCCCCTACAGTAATCGGTGAGTTGAGGCAAGCTGCAATACTCACCGCACGGCCAAAGCGAAGAAGACTTGGCCAAGGACGAGCTTTAAAGACGGGTGAGTTGCTTTCAGATCTTTCATGGCGCGATTGTGGATGAAGGTTTGGCAAACAAAGCACAGAGGAGCTGCATCTTTAGTTAACCTTGGTAGAGATGTCGCAGGCCAGCTCGAGTTCGTGGAGGGCTTGCTTATATGGAGCCACCATCGATGCTGGGCATCTTCGTGAAGTAGCGTTTCTTACCAGAGAGCCCAATACCCCTTAAATAAGGAATATAGCTTAAACCACAATATTAAGGCAATTAAGGCCCCTATAATTTAAGCTAGTAGCTGTTCAGGCGCATCATCAAAAAAGTATGTCGGGTGGAAGGAAAAGAGATTCGTCGAGGCTCGTGGTATCATTATCATCCGTTTTATTTCGTTTAGTTGTAGCAGCACATGATATGAGTTGCAACAAGTTGAAGTCCTTCGTGAGGGCGAGCGCAGCAAAGTCTTGAGTTCGAGGCTCCAGTCGTAAAGTTTCGGGCTCAAGGCTTGTATCCAAGAAGAGCCGCGGCAGTTTCTATAGCTGAGCAAGTAGACCTGAAACCTCTTGGGAACTTTCGTGGCATTTTCACCCCTACCCATGCGCAGGAGGTTCGATGTCCTCAGCTGATGATCCCGGCCTCCAATGACGACAACCACGTCAAGCCAGGCCGGTCGCAGTCATTCTGCAAGGGTCTGTGGCAAAGGTAACGGATTTCCTTCTACAGCATAGTGAGGTATGTATTACTTGGAAGTATTGCAAGCCTGTGCTACATTGGTAGGTTGCACGGAAATTTTAAAGATCAATCAATTTTTTCAGCCCCGAAATCTCCCATGTGGTTCCTGTGACCACTCCCGGCACACATTGCCAACGTGTGTAGGTCAGGCAAAGATTGGTCGAGGCCCCTGACGTTTGATGGCTTTCGCTTGCATCGGAAGCCCTAGGGTGCCTCTCTCGTATGGAAACCCTCTTTTGCTTCAGAGGTGGCGGGTTCATGAGCATCGTTACGGCCGCCCACCCAGCGAGCAAGTCAGTCGTCTACGAGAAGCTTGTCTCTCAAATTTGGCAAGCAGCCGAAGCTCTTTGGTGTTCTGCGCTTTCTTGGCATGTCGATTGTGTTTCATGAAGGTGTTTCTGGACGGGCTACGAGGAAACCTTATTCCCTCTCCTAAATCGCGGGGCAAGCATGATTTGTGACCAAGCTCTCGGAGTAATTATCACGGTATTTTCGGTTTGGAGCCCTATTTGGTCATGCCGTGTCTGACACAGCTGGGCGTGAAGACTCTTATGTTGGCATGCCAGATAGAATCATTGATGCTGGCATGGGATGACCTCGCACTCGCCGCGAACCTGCTGAATTTCCAGACATACTTCTCTTTCCCTTCTCCGGGAAGTCTGTTCTTGATTGTGCTTTGTGTGATGTTGGCATGCACGTGTGTCAACTGTATCTGTCCGCATGAAACTTGACATACCTGAGACGGGATGTCTCAACGACATGTTGTTTGTGTTGTCTGCCTGCCTGCCTGCTTGTCTGTCTGCCCGACGGCCTGCCTGCTTGTCTGCCTGGCTGTCTCTCTGCCGGTCTGTTTGTTCTGCCTGTGCGGACACAGTTTGTTTCGTTCGCTGTGGCAACAAATTCGTCATGCTTTTCCTGGACGACTTGTTGCTGCAATTTGCCGTATGGCTGTATGCGTTGTTGCTCATGGACTATGTTTGAGTGTTCTAGTTCTAACTAATTGACTAATTATAGATGACTGCACCGTGCGACTTTTCCGACGGTTTCTACCTTGCACTTGCCGTATGTAATGTTGACCTTTGCCATGGCTGTCAGATTGGCACATGACTTGACTATCATATGTATTATATATATATATACATATTTACGAGCACGCGCGAATAATCGTCGGTCTTGTGGCTTGCTGTCGAGGAACATGGTCCATGGCTGGATGACCCGGGGTGCAGATGACAAAATGATACCGCAGAAGGCAAGGGCAGCTAACTGGCAAGTTTGATGTGAGCGTTGGACCATGATCCTCTCAGCCTGTACTGCACTTTGGGAACTTCCCATCGCAGTGATCGGGAAGGGCATGGTGTTTTGTGGGCGAGACTTGTGCTGGCCCCGCGGGACCATCCTTTGGCACTTTCACATGAGTTGTCCGTTGCACGCAGTAAAATGTGCTGGCACCAGCGCACTTCCAAGGCCAACCAAGCCCAAATCACTGGCGTTTGCTCGCTGGATTCTCTTGTGCATCACGGCCTGCGAAATCGTCCCATTACCTTCAACAGCTGACAGACTTGTTCTTCTGCTGCTTCCCGCTGAGTCGTTGATCTGCGGTTCTTTTACGTGACCTTGTGGCAAGAAGTGTGCAGTTTCTTGTTCTTGTTGGGAGTACGGAGTACAGGGGTTCACGAAGTCCGCACTGCGAACGAAGCGTTGCAGGAAGGCGTGGAGACCGTCATGGAGTCCCAGGCGGAAGAAACAGATCGGGCGCTTCAGAACTAGGCGTAGAGATTCTGCACGCGTTCGCAGAGCCCTCTCCTTCAGTAACGATTCACCTTCTTCATTTTCAAGGAAGTTTCGCTAGTAGCTCTAGATTTTCGAACTCAAGGTTGAGTTTGTTCCTGCTTTAGTCTTTGTGCGAGGGATTTTCCTTTGCCATGGGTATCGCCCGCAATTCCGGAGCTCGTTTATGTGGTCTCGAGTTGTTCAAGATTCAATCCCCAAGGCCCGTGCAGAACGCCTTGGCTACGTGTTGCTTTTCGCTCTTTCGAATTTGGTGCTGGGGAGGTTATGACGTATGACTGCCACAGGCCACGGCTTGAATGCGTGCAAGCTGTCATACGTCGTACCATGTCATAGGATAGAGTGTTATATTCACATTAAAGGCCGTAGTTTCAGGTAGTAGGACCTCGATACACGATCTCACAGACGAGTAGAAATGAACAGGAACCTTCCGTCTTTGGAACTAATCCTAAGGCCTGAACCATTAAACCTTCGGCAATGAAGCCTGTAACCGGACAGCTCGGGGCTCCGAGTGTGAGAGCACAAACTCCTAAACCTGAAACTACCCTCAAACTCTTACCCCTAAACCCCTGAACCCTAAGCCCCAATATAGACCCTGGAATCCTAGAAGGGGCCCCGCATGCCTTAACCAGGCCTCTGCGCTGAAGCTGGCTGCCGATTTTTTCCTGCAGCTGGCACAGCCGTCCTCGTAGAAACCGAAGTGCAGCTACGGAAATCGAGAGTCGAGGCTTTTACGGGTCGGCAAACGAACTTTAGAGATCTCAGGTTTATGCAGGAGCCGTGCTCGGAGTTTGGGACTTGCCAGGCTTGAAGTTCTTGTGGGTTGTCTTGGTGGGCACATCGTGAAAAGTTGCTTACTTGCTACTGTCCGGCATTCATGGTAGCCATGTTCCCTAAACCCTAAACCCTAAACCGGGGGTGATCAGCGCAGCACCGCCAAGCCATGTAGTCTCGACAGTATGTTGGCTTCGTCGTACTGGGGCGTCCCTGCTTCGGAGATCGCAGAGTTTTGCTGCTGATGAAGGGACCCTTGCCGACAGCCGGTCGGGTGAAAGAGCTGCAGATTCGGATAGAGTCCTAACCAAGTACAGCATGCCCGCACTTGCACTCGGAACAGATGCACAACGTGCATGTACAGAGGGCGATCTTGCCCGGACGAAGCATGCGCTGCAAGCTGCGAACCATTGGATTATGTTAAGCAGGTTTCAACTTTTTTGTTTCATCCAGGCTTTCAGGAAGGCGGTTTGGAAACCACAACTGTATGTTTTGCAACAGTGGCAGAGAGGTGACAACCAGACAGCTTGAGCAGCGTACCTTTTGGCTCATTCCCATGGACTTGGGGACGCATGAGTTAGGCCACTCAGGCGCAGCCTGCTGTGCGGGAGCAAAAGCAGTGCAGGCGATTTGGAAGCAGAGTTGCTCTGGAGCATGCAGGCCCCTAACAGCCCGTTGGAGTTTGCATGTTGGATAGGGCGTTCAAGCACTTCAAGCCTGGAGTTCGTCAAGATCTTTCTGCAGATAATGGGATGCTCGTTGCAAGGACTTCCCTTATCGAACCCCTGATGCCCAGAAACCCGCAGACAGCATCAGGATGAGCGTGAGAGCATGAACCCTTAAGGCTGCCTTCAACTTCATAAACCCCTGCAAGCCCATAAGTCTAGGCTCACTGTGCTGAGGATCTACAGTGGTCGTGGCTGGTGTGCCGCCAGGTCGCGCGGCTCTTTGTGCCTTTTTCTCCTGAATCCTAAAGCCTTTGGCCTAGTACCGCATATGACGGCTCCATGAGCTGAATGTTGGTTTATACCCAGTTTGTTCTGATAGGATCCGCAATTCAGACCTTGCCTGACTTGTCCGAGTGTCCAAAGACCCGAATCGATGGGGGCATCGAGCTTTGTTCTTCGCTTACATGCACGGAATTCCATGCCGAGAACCGAAAACTTCGAGAGTTCGCCTGTGAATTCTACAACGAGGTTGTTGCTCAGAGTAGGGTTGAGGGATGTTTAGGTTTAGGTTTCATTTATCTTGGGGAAGTATCACGGGGTCCTTGGAGTACCCCTCTAAGTTCCTCGCGTCTCTGTAGCACAGGGCAGTCTGGATCGGTCGCAGTTCGGGTGTTCAGTTCCTTTTAATGGAGGATTTCAGTAGAATGGAGGAATCGAAGAAGATTCTGGCATCTTGAAGAGGCCTTCGAGGCATTTCATCGGTCACCCTTGGTCGTGGCACACCAATCTGCCCCCTACCTTCTTCGCGCAGATCGCTGAACCTGAAAGCTGTCTCAACCTGAAGTTGTGCCTGAGTCCTAGAAGAACCGACTGCAGCCCAAACAGAAGCTCGCTGTAGCCCTCGGCAGGTCTTGAGGCTGATCCAAAAGCCGCGTTTTTTCCAGCTGCTCCGAGCGCGATGTAAGCACCGCATGTGAGGCATGGTGCCGGTGGCTGGCTGGATTCCCAAGCAAAGTTGAGGCCGAAGAGGACAAGGAGTTGGCATCTAGGGGCCGGGTTGTTCTGAAGTTCGGTTGCTTTTGGAAAGAGCATTTATCAGAATCGGGTCGTTGGAGTTCAGATGGATCTGCGGCTTCCTGTGGTTGTGCACTTCTGCGTTGTTCGTCTCACTGACAACCTCAACCGGCTGTGTCGAACATGCAAGTGGTCACATTACGGGGTAGCAGCAGTGCCACTTTGTCGCACTATGACCGAATCTCGTTCGTGGCAGCTGTGCATTGCTTTCGATCCGAACGTCGAGTTTGCGGGCTCCTTAGCACGATCAAGTTCTGAAAACTCTAAGTCGCGACATGTCGCAGCGGCTCTGAGAAAGTTATGGAGGAACTGGGAGGGGACTTCGCGATACTTCGTGGTGGAACAGAGGCTCCTGCATGGCGACGGTGGAAGTGTTGAAGAGGCTGCCCAGCAGGTTAGAGTAAACCTGGCGGTGCCAGATGACCCCCACCAAGAGAAGCAATAGACTCACACGGATCTCGCGCGAGGATGACACCAAATCATGGCTGCTGAGACCCCGTGGCGCGGAGATCTGGAGGATGTTTGAAGCATTTGGAAACACGTCTGGGCTGATGGATTGTCATTTGTTGGCAGTCTTGCACGCTCGCACCGTCAGTCGCCTTACTGGCCTAACCTAGAAGGCGAGATGTCACTACTACTACTACTACTGTACGACTACCACCACCACCGCCTTTTTCACCGCTAATTTTTACCACCATCGCCACTAGCACTACCACCACCAGCAGCACCACCCCTACTCCTACTTCTTCTTCTTCACACTACCACTACCACTACCACCAC